AAGGCCTTGTCTGGTACCACTTAAAATTTGGATTAAAAGTCAATTTTTTACCATTACACCACTCAACGGGCTGAATTTCACATAATTGGGCTGCATGTGTGTGAGAAACGGTAAAAAAAAAAAAGGCTGAAAAATCAATTCTCTCCTTTGAAAATCAGTCCCAGACAAGATCTAAGTTCTTTTCTCCATCAGAATAATAGGACTGTTATGCTCATTATTAAACTTGTTGAAGAAATGAAATAGTTAGTTTCGCTTCGTTTCAAAGAATATTATATTTCAAAAAAAATATCGGGAGCTCACAATCCAAATTATTTTCTCAATATCTAGCAAAATTATAAGAAACAAAATATGCCATTTAAGTACATATTTCAACTCAATCTTAATCATTTGTAAATATGCATCCAAATAATATCTAAGATCTAGTGAAATATGGCACCAAATAATATTCAAACTCTAGCAGAGTATAATTACCAAATTATATACCCAATGAGCAATGCAAAAACTAGAAACAAATAATAAGTACGTACTAGATTCTAAAAATGCTAAAAACAACATAATTCATTAATCTAAGAACAACATAACAATAAATATTATTGACATTTTATTTTATCCCATTATTTCATTTGCATCCCGTCGGGTCATCGTGTCAGGGTGAATACATTATCAAAAATAAGAAAATTATAAAAATGGTAAATTCGATTCTCAATTCTGATTCTTATTTTTCTGGAATCGGACTAGAACCTCCGATTTCGATTCAAGAGGTTTTGTTTCTATTAAAATGCTCGCCCTACCTTCATCAAATATTCGTTTGGCGTGTTTATATTCCATAAAGTTGATTAACTAAATCGTGTTAGACAAATAAAAAGTAATAAATCGTTTTTATTTTATTCCGTGTAAGCTATAATATTACAAACGTGCCGGTGGTTTTGGGGCTCGCATTGGAATTGAATAACAGTAAAGTAATACCCCTTCCCATGTTTATCTAGGCGTGGGAGTTTTAATTGTAATTGCATGTTCTAGTTCGATTCTAACAAAATTTAGGTATGAAAATCGATAACTGATCGGGTTCTGAACGGTTCTTGACTCTATAACCAAAATTTTCCCTTTCTATAGGTTTTAATTTTTACAATTGACCCAATTATCCGACTCAACAAATAGCAAATGTGAAATACCCAAGTAGTAAGTACCATGATCATATTCATTCATTCGAACAATTAATTCTATCATTCTCGTTCATAGCCATTGCTGACTGTACTTTACGCATTGCCCGCCTCACTAACCCTATTGAGGCATCACAAGCAGAGCCATAGCCAAAACTAAATGCTATTTGGTGGTATATTTACAAATAATTAAGAAAACATTGAAATATATATTTTGTTGACATATTTTTATTTTTTGTTAGATATCGGAAAGATAATTTTTATTGCAAGTTTGCATTTATTTAAAATATTATGGGTAGAATGGAACCTGAACCCCGCCCGATGTCTAAACCTACTAGTATATAGCAAAATGGAGCTAGTGACTACTGAGACGTCATACGAGAAATAGGGGAAAACGAATTGCACCTTCTTCTATGATCAATAGAACTGTAAGATGGGACAACATATCCGAATTCCCGTGACATGCAACTTGTTATTTAACACCAACACTACACTCAGCGTTAAATCATAAATATTAAATTTAAAGATTTATTAAACATTCATTACTCTTTGCAGTGGAGCTTACACGAGCCAACTTGTTCATTCAGGACTGCAGTACTACATACTGATACTACTTGGTTCTGGATTTAAATTGAGCAGTTATTTACTTTGAATAGTAAAACCTCTTTGACCACTTTGTCCAAATTCATCCAAGCTGAAACACAGGCTTCCTCTGATTTCTCCTTCCACTCTTTAGCTCTTTTCTTCATCTCTTTACCCTTATCTCCCTCCATTAATTCTCTCACAATACTCTCCACTTCATCTCTATTCACATCATTACCAATCTCCATTCCAGTACCCCATACACTGCATGCATATCTACTATTAAGAAACTGATCTCCAAAGAACGGCCAACAAATTATAGGCACCCCACTCGACAGGCTATCTCCAATCGAGTTCCATCCACAGTGACTCAAAAATCCACCCACTGAAGGATGTTTCAGTACTTGCTCCTGATCGCACCATCTTGCAATGAAACTTCTTCCTTTCGTCTCCTCCTTGAACTGCAGTGGCAACGCTGCGGACTCCCCCATTACTAGGTCTTCTCTCACTATCCATAGAAAATTCATTCCACTATTACAAAGTCCCCATGCAAGTTCAATCAGTTGGTGGCTGGATATGGATGCAATGCTGCCAAAGTTCACGTAAAGTACTGATTCTGAATCCTTGGTGCTCAACCAGTCGAGACACTCGGGTTCTTCTTTCCACAAGCTGGATCCAAGGGGTTCAACTTTTCTGCCATTAGTGAGAAGCTGAAGAGGGCCTACGGGGTAGAGTGGGGGGCAAAGAGAGGACAGTGCCTTCAGAACATGGTTTTCAAGTGCATCATATGTGTTGATAATAATGGCTGGTGCTGTTAGAGCTCGTTTTGATTCGTTGATAATGAAGTTTAACATCAGATCATTGGCATCTGTTGTACGAACGAAGGTAGGAAAATCTCCAAGAGGAAGGTGTATTAAGCCAGGAACCCAGTCTATAACAGTACTGTTTAGATAGCCATTCGTCAAATCCTTTTCATCTGTAGAAAAAAGTTGTATATGTTGTGAAAAAAAAAAAATGGCACTGGTCCTTTTCTTTCTCAAAGTGAAAGAAAGAATTTTTATATGTAGTGCATATCCAGCTAATCATATAAAAAAACTCCCTCTAGCAAAAGAGTTTACTGCAAATTTCAATTATGCATATGCAAGAAATGATACCTTTGAGAGGGCATATTCCCGTTTCAATAAGCCGAGGTAATTGTAGATAACACATGAGGTTGGCTGCACTGGTAGTCCTTAGTAGCGCGCAAGGCACACCAATTTCTTGGGCAGCTTCAAGTGTAAACGTCATGATAGCATCAGAAACAATGCAAGTTACCTTTGAATTTGGTGAAGCAGTAACGTTGAGTTGTGCAAGAAGGCGGCGAAAAGGGGCTAAGCAATTTTTCTGAGTAGAATCGCAGAGAGACGGAATTTGATGCATTTCGTCATCATCAATAGGAGGAAGGCCATCTGGGATTGTCTTAAAATCGAAATCTGGAAGTGGACTATTGAGAAACTGGAGGCTTTTGGATTTGATTAAGCGTTTGTGGCTGTGTTCTGTGTTAACAAAAGTAATCTTAAAGCCTTTGTGGTGCAGGAGAATGGCCAGTTTTATCATAGGGTTTATATGGCCCTGTGCTGGGAATGGGATACACACAGCGTGAGGCTTTTCACTTGCTGTATCTTCATCAGATGCCATATCTGTGCTGTGTGCCAGTTCCTGTGGAAATTAATCAATCCACTCTTTTTATCTTTTTAAAGACCAACGTTGAACAAGAAAATGCACTGGACCACTTCTACCCTGCCTGCTAGAAGCAGTTAAGAATATTAAAGAAGCAAAAGTAAAGCGGGCCACTATTCTCTCGTTTGATAAAGATTTTATAAGGTTTTTTTTTTTGTAAACATGTGGTTATAAAGTATAAAAAAAAAATGAAGAAAAAAATATATTTTTGAAAAATGAGTGATTGAAATGAGTGTGTGAGAAAAGTGATTATCAAATGATCAAAATCAGACAAAGTTGCTATTTACCAGGTCACACTCCATAGCAAATGGCCAAGAAATTATCATATGTTCAAACTTTGCTTTTTCTACAGAACATGTAACTGGCTTTCTTATTTTATCTCTTGACTTGTTAAGCTACCCAAACTGGGCCAAACATGCTCTCACTGTAATGTAATCATATTCTCTCGAGGAAGATGAGAGAAATGGAAAATTCTTGGTAACAAAGTCGTATTCACTTTCTTGCTTTTAATGCTACAGCAGCAAATACATTACAAAGTAGAACAGAGGGTGGGAAGCGATAGCAGATGCACATGGTCCAATAATGAAAGATAAAAAAACCTATAAACTGAATTTTCACTTTCACTTTCACTTTAACATATATTCTATATGAATTTTAATTAATTGGACAAGTTTAAATTATTCTTACCATTACTTAGCCGTAGGGATGTCAATGTGGCTTGTCAACTCTAGCGATTCGTGGCTTGGCCAGAAAAAAGCTCGAGCAGGGCAGGCTCGTGGCTCGGTGCCATGCTGAGCCATAAAAAATTACTTACAAAACATAAAAAAGAAAAAAGAAAAAAAAAAGAGGAAAGCAAAGCTGCCTGCAACACAGACAGTCATGATTGCTGCCTAAGCAGGCAGCTGCGCAGCAACGCAAGCAGGTTGTAGCTTTTAATTTTAACTGCCTACAGACAGCTTTATTTTTTGGGTAAAGCCATTTGTACTCGAGCATTTACATGCCTGGGTACACGACCCCACCGCCCCACTCACAATGAGGGGGGACCGAGGTGAATAAAATAATGGGCGCCCCCCCCCACCCCATTTTTTTTTTTTTTTAATTTTAGCTATAATTTTTTTTTTTTACATATGTTAAGTCATGTTTGTTTCGAATTAAAATCAGATTTTAATTTAAGTTAAAGTCAAATAATCAATATTAACAACATTTTTCATGGGTCCTACAACTTTTCAATTACACATTTCAAAAACTTGTATCACAATCTACTAAAAATCTAATTTTAATCACAACCAAACACCCACTAATATTTAGTTATCATTTATAATCGTATAAATTGTACAAATTCTAAATTTTTTAAAAAAAATAGATTTGTTACGAATTTTTTTTAAAAAAAATCGAGTCGGCTTGGGTCAATCTTAAATTTTTTGGTTGAGGCCCAAAAAAAAGTTCGAACCATTTTTACTCGAGCCGAGCCAGAGCTTCAAGTTTCGGCTCAACTTGTTGACACCCCTACTATCACTTAGACTGATATTAAACATCATCGATGATAGATAATATTATTTTATATTCTATGAAAACAAATCAAGCAATATTAACAAATAATTTGAGATAAAAATCATGTTGTTAAGTTTTAAAGATGATGACAATCTTTTGATAAAATTATTGTTGAAAAAGAGCTTTTTAAAAGTCAAAGTGTTAAGGGTAAGTCGTATAAGTGAGTTAGAAGTACTAAGGTTCTAGTATGAAACGAGGACAAAAGGGTCACCACAATTTCGCTTGCATATCGCTCAGCTGATGCACGGTAAAAATAGAAGCTGCGTTTTTGGCATGTTGCCTGGACCTTGCTTGAACGACACACTGTCCTTCACTTGTCGCTCGAGCAACAGTGTATCTCGAGAAAACATAATTCGCATTTTTCAAGATTTTTATCCGGCCTACACTATATATATACACGCCTTCACTAGAAAAATGTGTGTTGAACATTGAAAGAAAAAAAAAGATTACTTCCTACATATCATTCTAATAGTTCAACGTTCTTTTTGATTTCTTCATAGCATTGAAAAACATCAACTTCACATGAACCAAATACCAAACCACATATTTCCATAACATCTGCCAGAATTCTGAAAATCAAAGAAGATGATCGGAGTTCCAGTTGTTGAAAAACGAGGAGTTCTCATTGATCCACAAGATATAGACGAATTCAGAAGGCCGATCGGTACAGGAGCATGTAATCCAAACGGGCTTTGGTGATTAGAGTCATGAGGTCAGGATGTACTAGAGTTAGTCGAGTCTGATAGTACTGTAAGATGATTCGTTTATAATGAATTTTTACCGGCTTGAGCCTGGAGTTTTTACCCAGTTACGGGTTTTCTCCGTCAACAATTTTCAAGTGTTATTTATTTTTTAATGATTTATTAATTGCGGTAATTCAACATATAATAGTTGTGCAAATGAATTCATTCGGATTAATTAATAACTGTGACTTATTGCATTTATTAATTGGTAAATTTAAATTTCGCATAAATACTTATTCATCTCCTCCAGCGTTAGTTTGGTCGAATTTCGTTATTTCACATGTCTTGTTGGATATAAGAAACACCATAGATCCATGGTTGGATCTCCTTCTCCGATATGTTTAGCCTAGTTTTGCATAAAGGAAGAGCTGGAATTTTGATGCAGCGTGTCCAATTTAATAGAAATATTTTAGTACTCAAAATCATAAATTGAAAATTTTATTAATTTAAGCACTTATATAACAAAGCTCTTTTGAGATTATAAACAGGTTAAACTTTATTTTAATCACACATCTTATTAGATTTACAACTTTTATTCGTCTTTCAATTACATATTTCTTAGAATTCACCAATTTATAATTTCAAAAAAGTTTTGTCAACATCCTATTGATTTTCATTTACACCAAATTAATACTTTTTGAAAAATTACTAACATTTCAATACGACAAAACCTAAACCTAATTATCAGATTCCCACCTCAAACCCTATCGAGAATAACCACCGCAACCCAAACTATTGAAGCTCTAACACCATTTCCTTCGCGAATCCATTGACTTTCAAAATTAAAATTTTTGAATCGATGTAGATCCGCAACATTTTCTTATACCCGGAGGAGTTAGTAGTATTATAATAATTTCTTCTCTTGTTTATTACACGAACATGTGGTCGAAAATTTGTAGTGATTGAGGCGACGATGATTGAATGATTAGAAATTTGAAGCCCCACAATGGTAATAAATAATGTCGGTTGGGATGGAAGTGATGAAAGGCAACGACAAGGGTAATAAAAGCCTGTTTGGGCTCCACTCATTTGAAAATATAATTTTTCTTCAATAAAATAATATTACACGTAAATTAAAAAATTTTTATTACATGTAAATTCAAAACTTTTTTTCCTTTTTAACTAAAATTCTTTAAAAAATCACTATTACAAAAAGATTTTTTTCCCAAAAACTAATTATAATTGAGCTCAAACAAATGTCAATGGGATGGTGTTGAGATTTTGGGGAAAGAGTCGTATTAATATACAATCATGTTAGGTTTAGATAAAAATTAGTTTTTTAGTAGATTTTAGTAGAAAATGGTGAAATGTACAATTGAAATGTTAATAAAGGTTGTGAATTTCATGAAATGTATGGTTAAAAAATGAGTTCGGGTGAAAAATGAATTTTAAGAAATGTGAGCCAAATAAAAACTATACATCACCCCATAAATCAGAAAATAAGTAATGTTTTACTTTACGAGTAATGTAACATATAACATGTAAAACAATAGTATGCCCTTATTTAGTGGGGAAATCATATTTTTAGTATATTTTGATATATGTTGATGAAATGTGTGGTTGAAATGTTTTAAGATCCATAAAATATGTGGTTGAAATTATTTGTTGACTTTGAATTAAATTAAAATTTAGATTTTAATCAGTACCAAACATGGACTATATAAATAAAAGTAAAAGAATAAACAAGTAAAGAAGGTAACATATATAAAATAAGTAACGTAAAAATATTTGAAAATGACTTTTTTAAAAGTGAAAATTACACTTAAACATGGTTTTTAACTTCTCAAATCAAAAATAGGTTTAAAAGTTTTTTTTTTTTTTTGTTAAAAAATCAAACAATAATTCAATTTTTTAATATTAGCAATAATATTGTAAAATTAAATTACACTGCAGCCCCACCTACCAACCGAAATTTTCTCTCAAACCTAAATCATTTTCGTCTCTCTCCAACATCTACATTCTCTCTCTATCCTCTCCCTAAAGTTACTTCAGCAATGCTTAGCGTTGAACGCCATTGCTCGCGACGCTATGAGCACCGAGGGCAGTGGAGCTCACCGTCATTGCTGCGATGTTATCATTGATATGCGACGCTCTGCTTGCAATGTTGTGAACACTGCGCATCGTTGTAAGTGCCGTTGCAGCAGTGTCATTCTTGTATATGCAGCGATGTCGAAAAAAAATCATTTCTCTAATCTATTATTGAGGTGATGTTGGTGTCAAAAATTTATCATTGTGTATGCTGTTATGTTATGGTGAGGTGGTGCAGTGCTGATGATAGCGGTTGGGTTGAGGTGGTGAAGGTGATGGTGGGGTAGGGGTGAGATGAACAACGTTTGTGAACCAACTATTGATATCAGTAGTGAGATTAGGGTAGGGTGGGATGAAGGGTGTTTATGACCAACTATGTGTCTGTGTTGGGATGGGTGAGCATGAAATGCAGAGTGTTTATGACCAACTATTGGTATTGGTGGTGGGATTGTGATGAAAAATGTTTGTGACCAATTATTTAGGTGCTTGTGACCAACTATTTTGGGGTGGAATGTGATGAAAAGAGTTTGTGGCAAATTATTTGGGTGTTTGTGATCGAGAAATAACTCGTGATCAATTAATTTGATAATTTATGATTATAAAATAAGTCGACCTATAAAATTTGTGATCGAGAAA